ATATTTTATTTATTATTTTTATTTTATGTGCATGTGTGTATTGCCTGCATGTAGGTAAGTGCACCTGTGTTGTGCAATGCCCACAGAGAACAGAAGAGACTGTTGGATCCCCTGAAACTGGAGTTAAGTTATGGACAGTTGTTAGCTACCATGTGGGTGCTGGGATTTGAACCCGGGTCTTCTACAAGACCATTCAGTGTTCTTAATCGCTGAGCCATCTCTCCATCCCCCGTGTCATCTTTTAAAAGTAGCTTTCTCTTCATTCACAGGCATTTGGATAATAGCACTGAACCAGGTCTCACATTAGGAGGCTATTTCTGTCCACAATGTCGGGCAAAGTACTGTGAGCTTCCTGTCGAATGTAAAATATGTGGTAAGAACCTAGTTATTATTCCTTACTTAGTAAATTAGCATCAAATAACTTCTATCTGTATTGCTGCTGAAATAAATATAAATGTTACGCTCTTCTCATTATGGATTTAATTTGTGCAAAGGAAATAGAGTGCTTTTTTCACTGAATGTCCAGTAATCTACTTTCATAGCATTATAGAATAGTTTCCTGATAAGTATATTCTTTAAAGTATTGTAAAAGATGTAGTAGACATTTTTGGCTGTTACCTTTATAGAATAAATTACATATAAGAATGAGGAATTAAAATAATAGAATTATAGAATCTTGTTTCATTTATAAGAAGGCAAATAGTTTGCCAAGAGAGATCACACACTTGGTGACAGAACTAAGACTCCATCCTGGAATCTCTTTTTATGGCCACAGGTAAACTGAGAAAGTAATGCCTGAAAACACTGGAGATCCTATAAACACTGGAGTGTTGGAGATACAACATAGTGACAGATAGTTTGTCTGACATGTGTGAGGCCCTGCATTTCATCTCTCACACTAGAAAATTAAAAATAAAAACATTTGAAAATGTTGAGCCCAAGTTATATCACTTGACTTCTCAGCCATTGTCTATAAGATTTGGGTCATTAACATGTCTGTACTTTATATATTAGGTCTTACTTTGGTGTCTGCACCTCATTTGGCACGGTCTTACCATCATTTATTTCCTTTGGATGCTTTTCAAGAAATTCCTCTAGAAGAATATAAAGGCGAAAGGTATATGATGAGCTTTGAATAATTTTATGTTACAAGTGGTAAACTAGTGTTTGAATTGATTGTCACCTAAAAATGTCATGTAAATTTGTGTAAATTTATTTCTGATAAGAAAATAAGATGTAGAATACTCTGATGATGGAAATGATTTATTAAACAGTTCTGTATTTCTAGAAATCTGTTCATTTCCATAAACTTACATACATGTAGTAAGAATGGTGTATTGGTTTGGGTGGAAAAAAGCTTCCAGGGGCTGGAGAGATGGCTTAGTGGTTAAGAGTGTATACTATTCATAGGGCTGGAGAGATGGCTTAGTGGTTAAAAACATTGACTGTTCTTGCAGAAGACCTGGGTTTGAATCCCAGCACCCACATGGCAGATAACAGCTGTCTGTAACGCAAGTTCCAGGGGATCTGACAGCCTCCTCTATACTCTGAGGGCATTGCACGAGGGGTGCACTTACCTGCATGCAGGAGTGAGGGGTGCACTTACCTGTATGCAGGCATAATACTCATACACATGGAATAAAAATAATAAATAAAAAATATTAAAGAAGTATACTACTCTTGCAGAAGAACCAAGTTAAACTATTTTGAAGGTAGAACCAGGTACAGTGGCATATGCCTGTAATCTCAGCTACTTGGAGGGCCAGGGATGAGGCAGGGAAAGTGCTTGGACCCAGGAACCCAAGGCCAGCCTGGGCAGTACACTCATACACGTAAAATAAAAATAATAAATAAATACATTAAAAAGGAAAAGGCCTTGATTAGTATTATTATATTTGCTGATTTCTTCGACAAAATGGTCCCAGTAATAGCCAATTTTCAGCTACCACTAGTTTAACAACCAACCCTTAAAATTTCCAAATATTTAATAATTGACCCTCTTGAACTCTAGGACATCACTGAAAAGAAGACGCTAGTATAACATAATCTACAACCTGTGATTCATTTTTGTTAGTGTTGTTTGTGTGAAATTTCCACTAGTCAAGCCTGAAGTAGAAGTGGTCAGTTGGTTATAGATTTTTTAAAAATATTTTCTTTATTATTTTTATATTATGTGTATGTGTATATTGCCTGTGTGTAGGTAAGTGCATCCATGTTGTGCAGTGCTTGCAGAGGACAGAAGACACTGTTGGATCCCCTGGAATTGGAGTTATGGACGGTTGTTAGCTGCCATGTGGGTGCTGGGATTTGAACCTGGGTCTTCTGCAAGAACAACCAATGTTCTTAACCACTGAGCCATCTCTCCAGCCCCTGGTTATAGATTTTTATGCAATAACACTTATTATTTTCAAGAACGTCAGGACCTAGGAACCACTGACTACCATATAATTACATAGCCATCTGTCTTTTTGCTTTTCACACTTAAAAAAATCATTTAGAAGTGATTTCATATAGGGATGGGAAGATGGCTCAGTGGATAAAGGTACTTTCTATGCAAGCATGAAGACTTGAGTTTGGATCTCCAATACCCATATAAAAAATGGTAGAATTGCTGAGTCAAAAGTTATATGAATTTAAAAAATTTTTAAAATAAAAATATTTATATGTATGAGTGTTTTGTCTGCATTTATATAGGTGCACCTGTGTCATGCAAAGCCCTTGGATGCCAGAAGATGGCATTGCAGGCCAGAAGAGGGCATCGGAGCCTCTGGAACTGGAGTTGTGGACCATTGTTAGCTGCCATGCTGGGAACTGAACCTGGGTTCTCTGGAAGAGCAGCCAGTGCTCTTAACCACTGAGCTCACTTGCTTGCTCGCTTGCTCGCTCCCCCCCCCCCCCCCCC